TCCCCCGACATCCTTGCCCAAGATCGTCTCTGCACACAATCATGTGTTGCTTGCCTGGCAAGGAATCCGCTTGGTGGGATTGCACATCTCCCTTGATCCTGTTTCATTTTCTTCCTTGCTCTTTTTCACAGATGATTGTCCTAAGAAGTAAAGGACTTGCCTGGGTGAGTACACACACACACACACACACACACACACACACCCCAACATTACCCTTCACCCCATCGCCACACGAATTCTGCTGTATTTACTTCTGATCGTGGAGTTCAGAAAGAATCTCTCTGGAAGGAAGCTATGTGTAGGAGTCAGGAAAATTCCCCTTTCTGACTTCGGTGTGCACCCGGGTTTACAATCTGGGAAAAGGGAGACAGAACTGTGTGATAGAGGAAGGGTTAAAAATCTCTCAACTTTGGTCGATTTCCGGGCCAGTGGACAATGCTGTGTTCACAAACTCTCTCAGGCAGTGGGCCCGTCTGCAGAAATCATGTGTAAAAGCAGATCCACATGTAATTTCCAGTACACAGGACGTAGCTACACGCCTGCTCAAAAGGCATCTCTGACCTGGGTCTGTTGACACCATCTCCTTCACTAGGAAAACGGGACTTCTAGTAACAGGCTTGCACACACACACACACACACAAACACACACACAAACACACACACACACACACACACACACACACACACACGAGATCCTGGGAAGTGAATCTGCCTTTAGCAGTTCATTTCTCATGTCCTACTTCTATGTCTTGCCTCTTTCCCATTTGCGATCTCCGCCATGAGGGCATTCCCAGGGTCTCAGGTTCGGGTCCCTCCTCTCTGCTCCATCCTCACAGGTGATAGCATGTTCAGGAGGGCACCTGCCTCCATCTTCCCCATTCCAGCAGAATGGACTCTGGGAAGATGACCGTCCTCACGCGTCACCCATGTTTTCCTCTATCCTGCTACATCGGCATCCTGACTCATGCCTTTCCCACTTCTTCTCCCCTTCTCCTGAAATCTGTGCTGCCAATCCATCACTGAGTGATTCAATAAACCTTTCCCAAGCATGTCCTTCTGACTTGGATGATCCACTCAATGGGGCTTTTCCCAGAAACAGCCACTCAAAGGAGTGATTGAAAACCAAGTCTCTACTAGAACCATCGATTCTGTTTCTGTTATTCAGAACAATGTCAGGCTCGTGCCTTCCCTGCTAGCTACTCAGCGTGCTAAGATCTAAGTATCATGGGTTGAAATCAGCCTGGGGTAGAAAAGTCTGGGAGACTTCCTATCTCTAGTTAATCACCCCCAAACCCAGAAGCAATGCTATGGCTTGTCTACATGAGTGTTGGCCTTGAACACAGAACCTGAAGGAGGATGCCCAGGTCCTGAGGACAAGCTCAGGGCCAGAAAACGGCAATGACAGAGTCCCTGAGCATTTAGCATTAGGAAAGGCCACATCATCTTCAAGAGTGGAAGGGTCTGTGAAGAAGTTCTATCATGTTCCCACAGATTCCACCGGAAATGCAAGGCTGCAAGATTGAAAGTCAGCTTCCCTAGACTGGACTGAGGGAATCTGTCAATCACAAAAAGAAAACTGTCTTTCGGGCTTGAACACATGTCATCTCAGCCTTGGGGTTGGCTTTAGGCAGTGGAAAGTGCGTGAACTCCATTGTGGGAAAGAGCATGCCTAAAATGCCAGGCCGGTTCTTGTCGCCATGTGAGAATCCTGGAGGGGGAGTGGGAGAGGATAAACCCTGGGTAGTGTGGTTTGCCCATGCCCCAGATGCTGAGAGTCTCACCTTCTGCAGACATGCAGTAGCAGTTGGCACTCTCTCTCCCTGCTCTCAACTCTAGAATTTCTGGCATTATCCTGAGTTGCTGAGATTGAGAACCCCATTTCCTCCTGATGTCTCCTTATCAAACCCCTCCCTGCAATATGCCCTTGCATTCATATTCTGCAACCCCCTTAAGATGACAAGGACCCATCAGAACTATGAAGGCAGAGGTTGGGCTTAGACCTGAACCAGACCCATGGGTTTATTGGTTCTTCAGCCCAAGG